AAGAAGAAGAAATTGCTCAGATAGCCGGAGGAGCATTGCACTAGAGAATTTGTACCTCACAAAGCTACAAATCCCAGGATTCCACAACAAAGGGGGAAAGTCAGAGGAGGTGAGAGAAACCTGGGCATTTTAGAAGCAGGTGAAAAAGTGGGAAGATATAGGATTATTCAGGACCGTTCCGGGCAAACTGGGACAGTTGGAGGCTATATCACGCTACCCTTGCTGTCATGCGGTTCTTCCACTCTTGCAAAGTGAGACATGAAAAGTTCATTTCGCCTCCAGGTTAGGAAGGTGGAGAATTGAAGTGCGATGAGGCCATAGGATTTGGGAAAGAAATTGCATGGTGTTAAAAGGATTTGTGTTTCTGTTCTCTATGCACGATTTAGGAGAGGTGTGAAGAGATAAGAGTCCATGTCAGTACTTCTGACTCCCTTCTTTCTCTCTTCCTAGCTCTTCTCCTCCCTTAAGGGCTGCACCGAAGACATAGCAGCGTAGGAGTCTGGATTCTGCAGATGACTTCCAAGGGCAGCTGTCAAGACCCATCAAGGTCTCTCCTAGCCACCCTCCAAGACCACCCCTCCCACCTCACCCATCTTGGCTCTTTAAGCTGATGTGCAAAATTCAAATCCATGCTCTCTTCCAGTTAATGCCATAAATCAGCCATGATGGCTTCTGCGTTAGCAGAAACAATGTGCAAAGTGGCGAGGAGGAAGGAACAGAGGCAGAGCTTGTAGGTAGGAGTGGGTCTGGGAGAAGGAAGCAGGCAGCATGGAGGCATTGCTGAGTTGGTGGCTGGAAAGTCAGCCAGCACGGCTGAGGAAGGAAAAGAGCCACAGTCTGGTGTGGGCAGGGTTTTGAAACAGCAACAAGGGAGAGTCGAAATTCATGACAATCAGGACACAGCTGCTAACCTGTTGGTGTTCTGCCTAAATGCCAAAGGAAAGGATTGACTTCAGTTCGCCTAGCCAGGCATTGCTCATGCATATTGTCCACATTCATACATGACATGATGGACACACTTCTGTCTTTGTGAAGGACCCACACCCCAAAATATGGGACTTTCTTTGACATCTTGTTCAGTCTATATAAAAGGAGAAGCTTTCACCTCTTCAAATAGGGGACCACCCTTATGATAAGGAACATCTGTCAGCCCGACAAGGGACAAACTCTCTAGTCCTCAAATAGAGATGACTCTTATAATAAAGGACACCTGCCAGCCCTATAAGGGGCAGACTTTCCAACCCTCAAACAGGGGACCTCCCTTATAATAATTCCAAGAATGGAATACTACTGGGATTTTACACTTGTGTAATTGGCTGGTTTATGCAAGTGATTGGATGTTTTATTTACTGCCTTGCATAAGGAAATCTTTGAGATCTCCTTATGCAAGCACAACAGTCCATGGCAATCCCAGATACTGTCTGTAGAACTCATCTGGCTCTTGGTTCCACAGAGTTACACTGATGGAGTATTAGGCATCCTTGACCTGAACTTATTACACAGCATTGTGTCTGTCCTGCTGCTGTCTTGCATTCCATTCACTACTGTAGTGCACCTTCCCATTGATAGGCAAAACCCATCAATAGGTTCTCAATCTGGCTGATATTCCATGACTGCCTTTGTGCGATAGGTCCCTTCCACTGCAGTTCCACTTCTCAGACAATCTGGTGGCATGAATGAATGTGATTCTGCTCCTCTCCTCCCTCCCTGTTGTAGCAATCACAGCCACCGACAGCTTCCTCGAGCTGACTGCTGTGTTCACATTCACACAGCAGCCAACTTCAGAAGGCTATTGGCAGCTGCAGTCACTTGTTTCTCCTGCCCAAAGTGCAGGGCCTCTGTGTGAATGTGCTTGCATTCACAAATTTGCATCCACAAATTGGGATGGATCACAGCTCTCCCAGAAAGTGTTGTTCAGTAGTGCAGAAAACAGATCACACAACCATCGATCACCAAACTGCTATTGTGGGGAAAAGTGTGGTAGGAAATGATGCCAAACTGGTATGTTTCCATTCTTAAACTACTGTGATTGTGGCAAGCTGGCTGGAGACTTTTTGTTTCTTCCCCTGTCCTAATTTTTTTTGGTCCCCGTGGAAGAGACCTGTGGAACACAAAGCTTACACAGTCAACTTTTGTCATGTTTGAGCCAATACTAATAAAGGTGAGACTCATCTCTAACTTTTCTGGAGTTGCTGGTTTGTCCTGGGCAGACTCAGTCACAGTGTGTTCTGGCACCACCTAATGGACAAACCTCTCTCTACATCAATTGTTGGGTGCCTTCAGGTTGTTTCCAACTTATGCCAACCCTAAGAAGAAGCTCTCATGGGTTTTCTTGGCAAGATTTGTTCAGGGGAGGTTTGCCCTGGCCTTCTCCTAAGGCTAAGAGCAGTGGGTTTCCATGGTCTAACACAAATCACACACCACAATGATTACCACACAGAGATCTATCTTGAGTCCATAAACTCTCACACAGCAAAAAACTCTGAGATCCAAATGTCAGATCTTAACCAGAGACAGTCTTCATATGTGGAGGCCTATAGTGGTTTGAGTGTTGGACTATGACTTTGGAGACCAGGGTTTGATTCCTCACTTGGCCAGGAAACCCATTGGTTGACCTTGGGCTGTTCCAATGAAAACATTTTAAGAGTATGTGTCCATAACTTGGGAGCCAACATGGCACAGTGGTTTAAGTGTTGGACTATGGCTCTGTAGATCAGGGTTCAATTCCCAGCTCAGCCATGAAACCCACTGGGTTACCTTAGGCAAGTCACACGCTCTCAGCCTCAGAGGAAGGCCATGGCAAACCCTCTCTGAACAAATAATGTAAAGAAAACCCCATGATAGGTGCACCTTAGGGTTGCCATAAGTTGGAAATGACTTGGAGGCACACAAGACACATCAGGTTGCTGACAGGAAGCCCTGGCAAAGACCCTGAGTTTGGGCAAGTGACCTTCCACTTGACCTGGCTCACCAATTCTTGTACTGTCTCATCTAGGAGGAAGCTGCTAAGTCTGGGGGAACCCCAGTCAACCACAGCAGACAGATTCTGCTTTCTAACCACACAGCAGCTGCAGTTCAACAACCACCATCCAGACCTGCAAGCACTCTTTGGACCTACCCCATTCCATTGAACCGATGGCCAAACTGTTGAGGCTGAGGGCTAGTGAAGCAAGAGATTCATGCAGGAGGCAGTAGTGATATCCATCTGAAAAAAGGCCATTTGTAGCCTTCCTTGGTCTTGATGAGGCCCAAATAAACTTTCAGCACCTGGGGAGACATGATCTGCATGATAGCTCCCCCAGAAGAGATTCCTTCCAGAGTCGTGAGACAAAAGCCAGCCGGGATGGGAAATGATGTAGAAAAGAGATGGTAATAAATGACTAGCATGTCCTGCCCTGGGAATCAACAGTTCGATCCCGGGGCGCTTGGACATGATGAGAAGAAAGAGCAGGAGGCAGGCAAAGATAAGGCGGCTCGGAGCAAAGGACAACAACAAGGCAAACAGATTGCAAAAGTCCAGAATCCAAGCCTGGCAGGACACCAGGGTCTCTTTCGGAGCGGCCATGGCAGAACTCACAAGCTTTGACCCAAGTCCCAACACAAAATTCATTTATGTTTATATACATCGTATTCACATAGCCAGAAAAGTAATTATATACACAATATTTCTAATAACTGTATGCAGGAAACAAAGTGTACACTGAAGCGTCAGAAAGCAAAGGTGTCACTGTCTCAGCCAGGCATCATAAAGACAGTTTTGGTTTGGGGAATATTTCGGATTCCAGGATTCCGGATAAGAGAGACTTAACCTAGATTCTTAAAATTCAGTTATACTAACTGCAGAATGAATACCATTTAAAAAGGTAAAAAGAAGTAAAACCATTGAAACCATTTGAAACCATTTAAAACCGCCCGGATTTGTAAACCGCCCGGATTGGGCAGCCATTGGGCGGTATATAAATAAATTTTATATTATTATTATTATTATTAAAAAGGCAAAAACCTAGATTTGCACAGAGATTAGGTCAAGATTTTATTCAACCATTTGTCAAAAGAGAAGGTTTCACTAGCAATTATTATTATTATTATTATTATTATTATTATTATTATTATTATTATTATCCTATAGCCCACCTTTTCCCCAAAATGACTCAAGGCAGCTCACAAAACGTAAAACAAATGCAGAACACACACAAATACAACACTTTGATAGAAATTGTCAAAACGCAATTTAACCATCAACGGAAAGCCATTTAAAAAGGCACAAGACTGAAAGCTTTTTTTAAAAAAAAAACACTTTAAAAGTGAGAAGGTAAAAATTAGTAGAAGAACACACTATTAGAGAAACAAGGTGCTGCATTTCAGAAAGAAGGAATAAAATGCAGAAGGGGGGGTTTAAGGGATTTAAAATCAACAGGTAAAATCTTTCTTGCAAATATTCAAACAGAGATGAGATGGGCATCTTTCTGGGATGCTTTAGGAGTGTGTTGGCAGCGGGGTTGGAATAGATGACCACAGAGGTCCCTTCCAACTGTATAATTGGACGAATGGGAATAGGAAAGGAGGAATGAAAGAAGGAGACACAGAGAGAGAAATGAATCTAAAATCCCACACAGTCTAGATAAGGGCAACCAAAAGAAAAACAGAAAACAGAAAAACAGTTCTAACCCAGCTCTGCTCAGTTCTTCCTTGCAGAGTAACATCCCCACCAAAGGTGCTTGCGGCTTCCCCAACCACCATGACATGTAAAGAAGTTCCACAATCTTATCTTTTGGAAGACCGAAAACAAAACAAAGCATCCAAAAACAAAACACAAAACCCAGGACTCTTTCAGAACAGGTCACAAGCCTCCCACACTCCTACCCACATCGCCTCCAGAGTACAGTCTGGAGAAGAAAGTCCCCAACCAGACTCATTTTCCACTCCCCCAAAGGCCTAAACCTGAGAAATCCTGGCCCCAAAGACCGTCCGCCTCTGATCCCAAATGGCTCTTTGTGCCAGGAAGGTGCCGAAGGCAAGGTACACGGCTGGACACACCTCCAGTCCCACCTCTGAGCCGGGGCAGAGTTTCGCACTGTGTGCATGAATGACATCAGCTCCTGTCAGGCGTTTCATCACCCCCGGGAATTCCTCTTGTAACCTGCCTTTTGGCACACCTGAGCCGTTCCACTTTCCTTTTCCCTCCCTCCACTTTCTAAACCTCATGGCAGGAGAATCCCTTCTCTTTGCCCCGACAGAAGTTTTATCCATTTTTATTTTCATTACATTACAAATGGAAAGCTCAGAAAGCGCTATAAAAATGGGGGATCTAGGCCATCCAGAACACACCGAGCATCTCCAGAAGACTGAGAAGAAGCTTTGGGCCAGAGAGAAGCCCAAGAAGCCTTGCTGCAGAAATGATGACAAAAAGGATCACAGGTATGCAATTCTTCTTGCTTAATTTTTTGTGGGCTTTTCGGGCTGTGAGGCCATCTTCTAGAAGAATGTATTCCTGACGTTTCGCCTGCAGCTGTGGCTGGCATTTGGGGTCCAATGTGGCATTTGGGGTCCAATGTGGCTGCAACCATACTGAAGCCCAGATGGAAGGGACTGTCGTGGCTGCTGGGCAAGTGAGAAAGGGACACAATGCCCTTTCTTGTTTGCCCAAAAGCTGTGCCCATTTTGGGTGTCACCTGGTGTGGTTTGAACCCCTAGCACTCCCTTAATGATGTCATTACATTAGATCAGGCCTGCACAACATACGGCCGGGGGGCCACATGCGGCCCACCAAAGGATTTTGGGCAGCCCATGAGGATGTGGAACAACTCCAGGGCATGCAGAGGAGGAGGAGGATGAAGGGGGAATGCTCACTCCATAAGGGTCCTCTGCCACCTGACTGGGGAGGATCAGAGGGGGTATGATAGCCCTCTTGAAATATTTGAAGGGATGTCATATTGAGGATGGAGCAAGCTTGTTTTCTGCTGCTCCAGAGAATAGGACCCAGAACAATGGATGCAAGCTGCAGGAAAAGAGATTCCAGCTCAACATTAGGAGGAACTTCCTGACAGTGAGAGCTGTTCAACAGTGGGACACACTCCTTTGGAGATTTTGGTGGAGTCTCCTTCTTTGGAGGTCTTTCAACAGAGGTTGGATAGCCATCTGTCAATGGGGATGCTTTGATTTTGAGTTCCTGCATGGCAGAATGGGGTTGGACTGTATGGCTCTTGGGATCTCTTCCAATTCTATGACTTTCTCCAGAGGAGGAGAACAACAGGTTAACACTGGACCTGCAAGGTTCCTCCACTGCTCAGCCTTCTCCTGAGAAGGCCAGATGCAGGAGGAGGAGGAAGAGGATGGGCAAATGCTTGCCCCACAACACTCCTCAGCTCCCTAGTTTTCTGCCAAGGAGAAGGCCAGGCGGTGATGGAGGAGGACAGGTAAATACTTGCCCTGCAAGGCTCCTCCAGCCCCCCTACTTTGTTCAGAGGAGAAGGCCAAACGGCGGAGGAGCAGGTGGATGGATGGGCCTACACTCAGCTTGCAAGGTTCCTCCGCTGCTTGGCTTTCTCCCGAGGGAAAAGTCTGGATAGAAGAGAAGGATAGGTGAGGCTGCTCTGCTGCTCAGCTTTCTCCTGAGTATAGGGCTGAGCACAGGAGGACTGAATTTTTATTATTATTATTATTTAATTAAAATTTATCTGTGGCCCAAAGAAGTTTAGCCTGTTTTAATTTTGGCCCCCAAAACTTTGGCCAAGTTGTGCAGGTCTGCATTAGATGCTCTTTGGGCATTAACTCGAAAGGCTCCCTCGTCCTACCAAGAGAGTAGCTTTGCTCCCTCTTGTTATTTTTTGTTACTCGCCTTAAGGGGGAAATGCGGAAGGATGCTGCGGGACCAGTTCTGAGCAATTATGATGGCTATGAGCCCTAATACATCTATTGTATTGTATTGTATGGTTCTGAGCAACCTGGTAAAACTTGGGGCTGAAGCTGCACCGCAAGACGTCGAAGCTGGCCTGGTGGGACTCTCCCTTCTCAAAGGTTTTCTTCCCCCGAAAAGTGGAGGGAATGAAGACAGAAGGCTCTTGGAGCCTCGTCTTGTCAAGCTCGCTTCTTGCATCAGAGAGCACTTCTTTGGACAGCGAACAAATTTGCATTAGTGTTTACTCACAGGCAGACGTATGCCACCGCTAATTAATTTAATTAATTGACTATAAAAAGCGTGTGCATAATTGAGAAAGGAACAAAAAAGGACATGGGGAAGGGAAAGAGCATATGCCTCTGAATATGCGGTGAGTCTACCCTGAGTTTTCTTCCAGGAGCAATCTGAGCTCCTGGACAGATCTTGGATGGGTTCCATGGCATTGGGGAATTGGAAGAGATCTCTCAGAGGAGGACAAACAAAATGATGAAGGGTCTGGAAACCATCAAGCCCTATGAGGAGAGACTTAGGGAGCTGGGAATGTTTAGCCTGGAGAAGAGAAGGTTAAGAGGTGCTATGATAGCCCTCTTTAAAAATTTGAAGGGGTGTCATGCTGAGGATGGAGCAAGCTCCAGAGACTAGGGAGTTTATTGCATCCCCCAAAAAAGCAACTTACCTCTCCCAGGATAGAGTTGCTAATGGGATGCAAAGACTAGAAGCTCCTGTGTTTGCAAATCAGCCAACTGAGTGCGGCTCGGAGCCAGGATTTAGCTGAGATGCAGTTGCCCAGCTGCATTAGTGGCATTTTTATTGCAATAATTCCCAGTTGCATCCCGTAAAT